TGGTATTCATAAATTAAAGATAAAAGTCCTCTTCCCATACCAAAGCTTGGGGCTACTTGGGAATGACTGAAGGGCTTTTGAGTCACTGTTACTAGTTAATTCAATGAGGGTCTGTAGTTCAGTCTGAGTGAATGAGGGTCTGGAGTGTAAAGTTGAGGATGAACAGAAGTGGAATAAAAATGGAAAAGAATAAATACTGAATCAAATAAAATAGCATTGTATAAGAATCAGAGAAATGGTTATTAAGGAATCCCATCAATTCTAACTCTGCAGTTGAAACATCAGTTATTTGTTGAAATTTTATTTCCTTCTTCATTGTCCTGAAATGTCAGATCTCAACTTGATATAGTCTGGTGGGAAAGGAGCTGGGTGAAGAAACAAATGAACTCAAGAACATTCACATACTATCTCTTGTGCTCTTATTTCTGCCATCTATAAAATGTAAACCCAATTGTCTCTCTTACATATGCTATGAGACCTTGAGAGAGTATTCCCTAGGAGTACATATGATCCAGAAACATGTTAGCCCTCATGGGGACTGAGGCCCCAATTTTGAATTTTTTTCAATCGTTGACTTAAGGTAATTAAGGATATGCTGTGTCCCTGTCCTATTTCCCTTCCAAAAGAAGAATGTATATTCTCAATAGATTCATATTATACAGAATCTCACTAAGCTTCACCATTTTTCCTGTACTTTGACCATCATCAAAGATTACCAAGTTTATAGAAATATATGACCAAAACCCAGAGAAACAACCATCAATAGAAATAATCCCATAGGACACTCAGATAATGGAGCTGTAATTTATAGACTATTAAATAACTACAAATAACTTGAATACATTTCAAGAAAAGAATAAGAAGATCAGCAAAGAGATAGAAAGTACAAATGAAACAATATGAAAATTTTAAAACTGAAAAGCACAATAACTGAATTTAAGAATTAAATAGATGGGTTTAACAGCAAATTAGACATAGCCAAAGATAAGACTTAGGAACTTGAAGAAAGGCCTCACAAAAATAAACAAACTGAATTCTGATACAAAAGGATAGAAAATACAGAAAGGACCATGAGTGATATATAAAAAAATGTTGAGCATGACTAAGATACACAGGAGCAAGATAATGGAGGAAAAGAAATATCTAGAGAGAGATTGTCTGAGAAGTTTTCATGTGTGACAAAAATTAAGACACAGATTTAAGATGCTCTAGGAACCCCAAGAGGGATTAAAAACAAAGAAAATCAGACTGAGATATGCTACAGTAACTGTTGAAAGCCCAGTAGAAAGGGGAGAAATATTAAAAATAGTCAAAAGAAAGTGTCTGCAGTTGAAACATCAGTTATTTGTTGAAATTTTATTTCCTTCTTCATTGTCCTGAATGAATTATCCTAAGTTCAGTGGCAGAGCACTTGCTTAGCATGTTAGAGGCCCTGGATTTGATCTCCAGTCCCAGAAATACAAAAAAGAAAAAGATACAAAGAAAGCAAGGAAAATATTACCTTCAAAGGGGCAACAATATACTGATAGCTGATTACCTAACAAATATTAGAAACCAGAAGCCAATGGAATCTTCAACTTACTGAAAGTTAATAACTTCCAGCCTAGGATTCAATAACCAGTAAACATTTTGAACATTTTTGAGGTTCTTCAAAAAAACATTAAAAATAGAACTACTATATGATCCAGCAATCTCACCACCCAGCATATATCCAAAGGAAATGAAATCAGTATATTGAAGAAACATCTGCATGCCCACGTTTATTGCAACAATATCACAATAACCAAGAAATGGAAACAACCTATGTGTCCATCAACTGATGAATGGATAAAGAAAATGTGGTAAATATGCATAACGTTATACTATTCAGTCATAAAGAAGAGTGGAATCCTGTCATTAGTGACAACATGGGTGGAACCAGAGATCATTATGTTAAATGAAATAAGTCAGGCACAGAAAGACAGGGAACACAAGATCTCACTCATACATGGAATCCAAAAAAGTTGATCTCATAGAAATTGAGACTAGAACGGTGATTACCAGAGGCTGAGAAGAATAGGGGAGAGGTGTCATGAGCTGTCCTGGGCTGTGCGTGGATTGTGTTGCGCATCCTGGCCTCTTGAGGGGAGAGGCCTGGCTCTGCAAATCCATGTCAGGGAGCGATCGCATGATGCAGGTGCACCTCCCCCTCTAGCTCTGCCTAAGATCTTACACCGCACCTGAGATGGGTGTGACTCGCCAAGATGTCAGTCAATCTGGAAGACATCAGGCAGCAAGACTCCACCCTTGAAACCTTATCCCCCTTTGATGCCCTGCCACACACCCACCACTATAAATAAAGGGATTCCGGGTGCATGTACTCCCTTTTCCAACCTTCTTTCCAGCATGGAAGCTGACCCTTAAGGCTGCAGAGCTGTCCTACTCTCGGTTTAAAAACTATTCTCTGTATTGTGGGATTTTTTTTTTGCCCCTTTCTTAGCTTAATGTTGCAGCCTGCTCTTTTAAGCCCAGTTCACCTCATTTGTGCGGGTCATTKGCGAGAGAGACACAAGAAGGGGAAAAGGTTATCAATTACAGTTAAAGTAAGAAGTTCTTTTTGTAAAATACTTTTTTATTCATACATGGACTCAATATATTTATTTTTATGTGGTGCTGAGGATCCAACCCAGTGCCTCACATGTGCAAGGCAAGCGCTCTTCCACTGAGCCACAACCCCAAGAAGTTCTGATGTGCTATTGGACAGGAGGATGGCTATAGGTGACAGAAATGCATTGACATTTCAAAAAGAAGAAAGGATTCTGGAAATTTTTACCATAAAGAAATGGTAAATGTTTGAGAAGATGGATATGTTTAATCTGATTTAAACATTATACAATACATACATGTATCAAAATATGCCTTCAATTTTTGTTTTTATGATTTCAAATAAATTTAACTTAAAATTGAGAAGTAATAAACAGAATAACCATTGAAAACTCAAGAGTGAAATAAAGTCATGCTAAGAATAACACATATTCATCAGTAACAGAATGACACTAAACACTAATGAGTACCCTACCTTTAGGCAAAAGGAAAACATATTCTGAATTAAAGCAAAGAAATGTAGCAAAGAATATATAGTAATGAAAAGGGTAGCTATGTTGTAAATCTAAATATATAAGCAAATATAAACATAACTAAAAGGATAAATAGAAATTTCACAATGGTTATTGAGAGAATTTAGTATATTTCTCTCAATATCAATTCCAGGTAGATTATCTGTCAACTGGTATAAAATAAAATAATAACAATTATAAGTAATTTTATATGTAAATTAATAACAATTATAATAACAATAATATGCAATAATAACAATTACAGAAGATCACATAAGAAAATATTTCCATGATTTAGGGGCTAGGGAAAATTTCCTTAAAAAGAATACAGAAGAAGAAATTCCATTAATCATACAAGAAAAAAATGAATATATTAAACTACCACAAATTAGAGATTTCTGTTCACTAAATGGAACCATTAAGCAAGTGGAAAGCCAAGTGAGAAGGTGGGAGAAGATATTTTCAACACATGTAGCCAACACAACTTGTGTGCTTAATGTATAAAGAATTCCTTCAAATCAGTAGAAGGCTATGTTGAAACCTACATGTCAATTATTTCTCCTAGATCTGATAGAGGATGTCCTCTAATGACAGGAAGGAAGTATTAAAACCGATTTGCTTATGTGGGACTTTTGTTGAATTGAATATAATTACTTAAGTCAATCAAAGTAAAGTATCCCAAGTAAGTCATTAAAAGAATTTGGGCTGGGGATATAGCTCAGTGGGTAGAGTGCTTGCTTTGCATGCACAAGTCCCTGGGTTTGATCCCTAGTGCCACACAAATAAATAAATAAATAAAAGAACTTAAATGCTCCATTTCTTTAGAATGGCTTTTCTCAATTCATTGTTGAAACATAGTATAAATTGCTCTATTCAGGGTTACCTTTATGAAACAACAGAAAAAAATAGTTAAGTAACAGTCACTGAATATAAAAGTTTTCAACAGAGCAGTAGTTCTTATTGAGAGAAGCAGAAAATGGAGAAATGGAGTCACTCTGGTACCACACCACCCACATTTCCTCCCAAAATAATTTTTTTTTGTAACAGGGATTGAACTCAGGGGTGCTTAACTACTGACCACATCCCCAGCATTTTTTTAAAACAGTTTCTCACTAAGTTGCTCAGGGCCTCGCTAAGTTCCTGAGGCTGGCTTTGAACTTGTGAGCCTCCCACCTCAGCCTCCCAAGCTGCTGGGATTACAGGTGTGTGCCATGGTACCCAGCCACAGTTATTCTTTTAAATATTGTTCTCTGCTGAGCATGGTGGTACACACCTCTGATTCCAGCTTCTCCGGAGGCTGAGGCATCACAAGTTCAAGGCCAGCCTGGGAAACCTAGTGAGACCCTGTCTCAAAATAAAAAATGTAAAGGTCTTGGGGTATAACTCAGTAGTAGAACACCCTAGCATTCAACCCCCAGTACAATAAAGAAAAGAACTTTATTTTATATTTTTGGTACTGGGGATTGAACTCAGGGCATTGCCCATGCTAGGCAAGTGCCCTATCCCCTGAGCTAAATCTCCCAGCTGCAAAAGGAATTTAAATACTCTTTTTTTTCTGTCTTTGAATGTACCTTTCTATCTCAACTCTCCTTTCTGTTTCTCTGTCTCTCTGTCTTTATCTCTCTCTGTCTCTCTCTCTGTCTCTCACTCTCAACTCTCCTTTCTGTTTCTCTCTCTCTCTCTCTCTCTCTCTCTCTCTCTCTCTCTCTCACACATATACATACACACAACACCCCAGAGTCCTGCCAAGGCATTGCTGAAAGTGTAACTGGGCTATACTTGAACCCTATCTAACTCTCTATCCCTAAATTTATAACACACCATTTTTCTTTCTTGCTTTCCCCACTCCAATCTATCAAATTTTCTCTTTCCACACACACACACAAAAGGGGCAAAAAAACTCACGCGACTTTGGCGCAGACAGTGCATTTCCAGCTGCCATTGAGGCCCACAACACGACATTCACTGCACACCCTCAGTGAGCAGGCCTGGCACGGGTCTCCCCGGTCAAAAATGAGGCCCAGGTTTCTCTGACAGTGAACACAGACTCTGCTGGTCTCCTGTTGAGTCTTCCCACTTCTACGTTTTGCCTCCAGAAGCTCATTTTTCAGCTTCCTGGAAGAGAAAAAAAAATCATTTAAAAAAGTACTCACAGAGCCAGGCGTGGTGGTGCATGCCTGTAATTCCAGTGACTCAGGAGGCTGAAGCAGGAGAATCGCAAGTTCGAGGCTAGCCTCAGCAATGTAATGAGATACTGTCTCAAAATAAAGAAATAAAAAGGGCTGGGGGAGTAGCTCCAAGGTAAAGCACCTCTGGGTTCAATCCCAAGTACAAGAACACACATACATATAGGAGCAGACCTATTTTAAATAGATGTTTTCATTTGGAAGACTATTCGAATCAAGGAGGCAAAACCAAATACTTGCAGGGAATATAATATCTCCTTCCAGAATCAATGATCCATTGATATGTAGTTGAAAATTACGTTCATGCTTTTAAAAAAAATTTTTAGTTATAGATGGATACAATATCTTTATTTTGTTTTAATTTTTTATCTATGTTTGTTTATTTTTATGTGGTGCTGAGGATCAAACTCAGGGCCTCACACATGCGGGCAAGTGCTTTGCCAGTGAGCCAAAACACCAGCCCCTCATGCTTTATTTTTGACATCTTCCACTAGCACTATTTTTCTATGAAGATTTATTCACATTCTACTCCAACTTATCCAGGAAATCTTTGATGCCACAACACTGGAGTATTGCTGGGGTGCAAAGGCACGCATGGTTGCAGGGGCTTTGTCTGCCTCGATGTACTACATGAGACAACAGTGCAAAACCAATTGACACACTGGTACTTTCCTTCCTGATCCCAAGAATGTTGTGCCTACAAAATACTGTCTAGCATTTCAGATATTGACACTTCTGCTTAGCATTTGATAGTATCCAACAATTTCCATTAACCTATGACGTTGCTATCAGTCATGTCTATGAATCCAGGTTCCTCATGTACTAGCCGTCCAACCTTAGGCAATGATTTAGTCACTCAATTTCAATATATTCAATGTATTCTTTCATAGTTGTTTTTAAGATTAAATGAGTTGCCAGGTGTGGTGGCACACACCTGTAATCCCAGCACCTCAGGAGGCTGACACAGTGCGGGTGGATCTCAAGTTCAAGACCAGCTTCAGCAACTTGGCAAGGCTCTAAGCAACTTACGGAGACTCTGTCTCAAGATAAAAAAATAAACTCGGGCACAGTGGTGCACACCTGTAATCTCAGTGGCTCAGGAAGCTGAGACAAGAGGATCACAAGTTCAAAGCCAGCCTCAGCAATTTAGCAAGGCCTAAGCAACTCAGTGAGACCCTGTCTCTAAATAAAATACAAAATAGGGCTGGGGATGTGGCTCAGTGGTCGAGTGCCCCTCAGTTCAATCCCCAGCACTAAATAAATAGATAGATAGATAGATAGATAGATAGGCTGGGGATGTGGCTCAGTGGTTGATTGCCTCTGGGTTTAATCCCTGATTCCAAAAAAAATATTAAATGAGCAAATATAAATAAAGTTCCCAGAATGGTATCTGGCACATAGGTACCAGGGCAGTCCTTTCTCCAGGGAACTTGGTAAGAATGCTACACTTCAGACCTACTGGATCAGAAAGTGCATTTTTTCAAAATCAGTGGTTTCATAAAATATTCAGTTGATTAGAGTTTGAGAGGCACAGCTTTGAAACATTTGTTCTCAAATTTGGCTATATGTTGAAATAATTTGGGAAGATTTTTTTTTAATATAGTGATTCCCAGGTCTCACTTCCACACATTCTGATATCATTGGATTTGGATGTGGCCTATACAATGGTATTTTAACCACTTCCATTATTTACTCAAATATAGTGCCAAATTTGGAAAACACTACTATAGAAGACAGGCTCATTCTCAGTTAAATGCTTCAGAGACATTTGGTTCCTTCGTGCTGTTGATCTCTATTCCCTTCAACACAACACTGCTATGTTCCAGGAAAAAAAAAAGTCCACAATCATCCCACATCTTTCATACCATCTCCTTTTTACATTTGTGATACTAAACTTTGTCATGCCCAACCCTCAGGGAGCAGGAAAAACAGAACACTGCAGTGTCCAAAATCTATAACAATCCATGCAACAGTGATAAAGAAACAAACTACTCAAAACAAGTAGAACAAAGCCAGCAATCCCAGGGAGCAGCCCAAGTGGGTTGATGGACCAAAGAGTAATAAATTAAGAAAATGGGGAATTGTGGAATATTCTTGAGGCAAATTCTCTCCTAGAAAAGAGTCTATGGTCAAGTTCCTTAAGTTTAACCACACACCACCTCCTTAAACTGGAGGAGCTGAGACCACCTGGAGAAATTATGGCCACAAATTAGTCAAACATTTGTATTGCATCTTATGTATATATGTATTGCATCTTTCTTTGTGCTCCACTTGACAGGACTTTATTTAGCAATTGGCTTTTACAGTTCACAGTTACAAGTGTTGAAAAGGACTTGGGGCCAAGTATAAGTCAGGTCACCAGGAAGCAAAGATGAAAGGCCTGAACATCTTGGTTGGGCAAATGCTAATATATTTGGTGCTTATGGGCCCATATATTCTGGCAACTATATCTGAGACATGTGGAGAAAACTGAGAAGAATTGCAGAGGTTGGTGAAAGCTATTAAAGAGCTTAGTGAATTTTCCAGCCTGTCTTTGAAATTGATCTAATTCAATCAGATCTAAGAGAATCCATGTTATGTGGGCACAGCCATTTTCAGACACACAGGAAGCAGAGGAAGGGCAATGGTAGGGTGTCGTGGTCTGTTTTGTGTCGTATAATAGAATTCCACACTCTGGGTAATTGGTAAAAAGCAGACATTTGTTTCTTACTATTCTGAAATCCAAGATCAAGGGGCTGGCAATCTGTCAAGGCCTTTGTTGCTGTGTCCAACATGGTGAAAGGTGGAATGGCAGGAAAGCCAAGAGCAGAAGAGGGCACCAACATCACTATGATAACAAACTCACTCCTGTTTAATGTCTTCTCCGCAGTACTAAGGAGAAAGGAAAGCATAGGGAACTAGGAGAGGAATAAGATGGGCTATGTCTCTGCCTTCTGTTTAATGAGCACTTACAAAGCAAGGTGAACCACCTTGGGTTCCTGCATGGATGGCCTAGCCTCAGGAAGGTACCTGAGGAAGGTGAGCTTTTGGCCTGCAGGCACAGTATCTACTCATCTTTCTCATAAGCTATCCACATAATCTAGAAATGCTTCTGGTTCCAAGTAACAGCCTTAAAAATGGGTCTGGCATAAAAACATGGTACTGGCATAAAAACAGACTTAAAGACCAGTAAGACAGAAGACAAAGAAACACACCCAAAGAGCTATGATCATCTCATTCTTGACAATGGTGCCAAGAAACATACATTGAAGAAAAGACAGTCTCTTTAACAAATGGTGCTGGGAAAACTGGACACTTGTATGTACAAGAATGGATTTGGGGGGGTGGGGTTGTGGCTCAGCAGTAGAGTGCCCATCTAGCACATGGGAGGCCCTGGGTTCAATCCTCAGCACCACATAAAAAAAATTAAAAAATAAGATAAAGGTATTAGAACATGGTGGCTGGCGCGGAGAGATAAAGTCCTCTGACTTCTTCAGCTGCGCGGGCATAGGGAGTCCTAAACTGTCTAAATGCTGTTTGCTCAGGATCACTAGGCAATGCTGAGCTGACGTGGATCTAGGGCGAACAGTTTGGGCCTCTCAGAGCACACACTGAGCCCGGATCGGCTGCATACAAGCTCAGGTTTGCCTGCTTCTCGTGACTCAGCACTAACGATCCCACTGAAATAACTGGTCGGCACTTCTGAACTTACAGAGGTAAAAGCCAACCGAGCCTTCATAGGCAGTGGCCAGGAGGATTGAAACGAGGCTTGGGAGAGACAGTCAGGACCCACCCATTGCATTGGTCACCCGGCAAAGGGAACGAACGGTCACCATTTGCATGGGATACCACCATGGCAGAGAACTGACATCACG